GGGGCTTTCTGACAAAAGATGCTCTCTATAAAAATAAAGAGACAGAGAACCACAGATCCTGCGAATGTACAGATGAGCGCTGATATATAGCATCCTTGTTCAAAGGGAGGGGTATTTTTAGTTCATGAGTATGTGACAGTGTGCTTCAATCATGATTTCAAATATTGGGATCTCTATTTCTGTACTGTAAGTGTTGGAGCTGTTCATTGATTAGTTAAATATGGATTTCCTTGCTGTTTTTGTTCATTTGAGACGTGGTGTATGGTTTTTTTTGTTGACAGTTTAAGGCACAGGGTGATTTGGGTATGTGGGTAAAAAAGTCCTTTTGTTTTTTGATATCTGAGAAAAAGTCAGAATCTGAGAAAAAGCTATTTTCAGAAAAACATTTTTTTTTAGAGTTCTGATTTACATTTTTGAATTTTTACTCTAACCTCAAAATAAAAATAAATATTTTGGTAGAATGAAAAATAAATCACACGATGCCCTCACGGTACGTCCACACGGTTCCGTCACGTTGAAGCTTGCCGGTGGGCGTGCCTGGCACGCGCCCAACAACCAATCACATTCATCTCCCGCCCCGGACACACAAGCACGCGGTTTGATTGGCTAGCGCTTGTACTGGCATATGATTTAAGTTGAACTTTTCTCAATTTACGAAGCGAGCAACGGAGGCAAAGCGACGCGACGGAACCACAATGCAGTTCGGCAAAGCTTGACGTCACCCCATTCAAAGTGAATGGGAAGCGTCTCCGTTGAAGCAACGCACGCTGCCGTGTGGACGGGCCGTTATCCTCTTCTGCAGCTACCTGGTCCATCTGCGTCAGTTTGAATTTGAGATTTGTTTAATTTGTTTTTGGTTAAGATGCTAGATTAAGGTTTTAATTCAATCTTGTCTTCTCTAAAAAAAGACTTGTTTGAGCATATGCTTCATTTTGATAGAAAGCGATGTTTGTGAGGATGGATTTAACCTCTCTGCACGTGCTGCTAAATGGCTATTTGTAGAAAATGTCTGTGCCACTTCAATGCCAAAAGCCAAAAGGTGATGCTTGCAGGAGAAAAACCCATTCGAGTCAGACCGATCACTCTTTCTTCTGCCACCCGTCTGATAGAACAAATTGAATTTGTCTTCCTTCGGTGGCTTGTTGGAGCTCTAAACAGCGTATTAGTGGCTCTACTTATCAAAGCTGTCAAAGCAAATCTGTTTAGCGGTGAACCTCGTAGACTTAGATCAGCCTCCAGATGACACTACATACATAAATACACCGCCCTCAGGCCTCACCAATAATACATGTCCTCTCTCTATCAGAGTGCATGTCAATACCTTTCTGAGAGCTAATGCAAAACCAACCAATAGCTTACATTTGGTGATTAGCTGGTAATAGAGATGCTCGTTGTATGACCTGCCCATTAGCCTCAGCTGTACTTAGTGATGATTAGCAAATGTCAGCCTGCTAACATGCTAAGCTAAATTGGTTACAGATACTCCAACACAGTCTCACGGCATTTTGTGTTATAGTCACGAAATTAATCTATTGATTCGTGTTCACCAACACGATTTCGCAATTTTTTTCGTGTCACACAGAACGATTTTAAAAGCAATGTCAATAATAACAAATTAGAAGGAAAAACAGATTTAAAAAAATACAGATTTCAGTATTCTGACACAGAACGATTTTAGAAGCAATGTATTTCTATTGGTAGTATGTTTCGTGCCTGCACCAAATAATAACAAATTAGAAGGAAAAAAAGATGACATAAAATACAGATGTCAGTATTCTGAGGCTCTGAGACATTTCTTTTCCTCACTGACGGCAACAAAACTCAGACATTATACAATTTAAAATAAAAGGGATAGGGTTAGGCTTAGGGTAAGATATTGAGTAAGAACATGTTTTTATGAACCACACAGCTTCTGGTCTTCCAAGACCCGACCGGACAAAAAGACGTGGTGCAGGCACGAAACATACTACCAATAGAAATACATTGCTTTTAAAATCGTTCTGTGTGACACGAAGAAAAGGGGAAAATCGTGTTGGTGAACACGAATCAATAGATTGCATTAATTTCGTGACTATAACACGAAATGCCGTGAGACTGGGTTGGATACTCTTACAGTTTTGTTTGGTCTGCAATCAACAAATCAGCACTGACAGGTAATAATCATGGATGTAGAAATGTTGAAAGAAGGCTAAGTGTCTGATATAAGTTTTGTGACATGAACTTTGAAGGGTAAGCATTTATAAAATCACAACTTTATTGTTGAACGATTCCTCCTTTCTCAACCCAAAAAATCCCTTTGCTCACAAGTTTTGATATTGTAGTGACAATGAGTTACTCTAATTATCACAGCTGTCAAAACAAATCTACTTAACGGTGATACTTAGATCAGCCTCCAAATAATATGACATACATAAATACACCGCCCTCAGGCCTCACCAATAATACATGTCCTCTCTCTATCAGAGTGCATGTCAATACCTTTCTCAGAGCTAATGCAAAACCAACCAATAGCTTACATTTGGTGATTAGCTGGTAATAGAGATGCTCGTTGTATGACCTGCCCATTAGCCTCAGCTGTACTTAGTGATGATTAGCAAATGTCAGCCTGCTAACATGCTAAGCTAAATTGGTTACAGATACTCTTACAGTCTTGTTTGGTCTGCAATCAACAAATCAGCGCTTACAGGTAATAAGCATTGATGTAGAAACGTTGAAAGAAGGCTAAGTATTTGATCTAAGTTGTGTGACATGAACTTTGAATGGTAAGTATTTATGAAACCACAACTCTATTGTTGTACGTTTCCTCCTTTCTCACCGCAAAAAATCCCATTGCTCACAAGTTTTGACATTTCAGTGACGATTACTGTAATTATCAAAGATGTCAAAACAAATCTATTTAACGGCGAGGCTTAGAACAGACTCCAGATGATACGTATACATACACACCACCCTCAGGCCTCGCCACAAATAAATGTCCTCTCTTTATCAGAGAGTGCATGTCAGTACCTTTCTCAGAGTTAATGCAAAACCAACCATTAACGTAATTTGCAGCTGGTAATAAGGATGTCACAGATCAAAAACAGCTAGGTTTTCAGAGTGAGCAGATCAAATGTTGGGTGTTGATTTTTACACCCCGCGTGCATGTCATTAACATTCTAGTGATATTGAGCAGAAATGCATCTTACTGTGAAGCCCAGTCGTCGCTGTCGAGCTTTTACTGGGTCAGAGTTTGACTCCTGTACTGAGTTTCCTCCCTGTCTCTTTCCACACACCGCTGTCCTTCCCCCCCGAGGGCTGAGGTGAAAACTTGAGTGATGTTCCCGTCTAAGAGCAAGCCTCTCACTTTTACACCAGCCTCCCCATCGTGCTCCCAGCGGGAAATCCCTGTCATGCATCGAGCAAAAGGCTCCGATAAAACCTGAAGGCTCCTCGTGCGTGGGGGCGAGGCTGAAGTGCACTCAGATGTGGCAACAGTGTGATCGCTCAAAACGGCTTCATGTGGAAGTCAACGGGAAGCTCACTGTACTGGACTCTATCAGAGGGGGGAGAAGTACTCAGATCTTGAACTAACAGTAAAGGAGAAGTGCTAAAGTGTAGGAATAGGGTGTTACAAGAAAAGTCCTGTATTCAAAATGTTACTCAAGTCAATATACAAGTCAGTATACGTATATATATATATATATATATATATATATATATATATATATATTGGTGTGAGTACCAAAAGTAAAAGTAGAAGTACTCATATATTGTACTTGAGTAAAGGTAGAAGTACTTAGATATTGTACTTGAGTAAAAGTAGAAGTACTCATATCTTGTACATAAGTAAAAGTAGAAGTACCAGAGTGTAGGAATACTCTGTTACGAGTAAAAGAACTGTGTTCAAAATGTTACTCAAGTCAAACTAATCAAAATATACTGGTATAAGTATGTATATATTGGTTTAAGTACCAAAAGTAAAAGTAGAAGTACTCAGATCTGGTACTTGAGTAAAAGTAGAAGTACCAGAGTGTAGGAATACTCAGTTACAGTAAAAGTCCTGCATTCAAATTGTTCCTCAAGTAAAAGTAGAAAAGTATTATCATCAAAATATAGTGAAAGTAGCGACAGTAAAAGTAGTGATTGTGCAGATTGGTCCATTTCAGAATAATATATGATATGTTTTATAATGATTGATCATGAAAGTGTTCTCAAAGCTGGTAAAGGTGCAGCTAGTTTGAATGACTTTGTATACTGCAGGGTAGCTTGTGGATTTACTCCAGGTGGAACTAACGTCTGATTTAAGGCTTGATTATATTTCACATCATTCATCTGTGAAGTAACTAAAGGTATTAAATACATGTAGTGGAGTAGAAGTACACCATGTACCTCTGAATTGGAGTGGGGTAGAAGTACAAAGTAGCAAAACACTTAAATACTAAATACTAGTAAAGCAACTCAACATTGTATTTAAGTACAGTTAATGTACTTAGTTACATGCACCACTGGACTTGAGTTATACGTACTCTCACCCTCCGAATTCATGAGAAAAAGACCTCGAGAAGTTGGAAATAAACCCCAGAACCGAGGTGTGAGTAAGAAATCAACTACACACTCAAGAAAATGAAATCCAGCACCAGATAATTCCTTTGAATCATATTCATAAATATTCATTGACAAATTAATATACCGAGACATCAAAGCATCGTTGACCAAGGTCAGCGTAATGAAGGGTGTGTATGAGGGAGGAGAGGGTGGGATTTACACTTAAACAACTCTTGCAGGAAGTAACACCCCTTAATATAATACTATCTACCCCAGTTCTGTCAGCAAACATCCTGCCTGTACGCCGGAAATGTTACATCTAATAACATGAAGCTTCAACAAAATGTGTCAAGTGGCATCTTGTAGGGAATCTTAATCATAACCAGAGATGATTCATTATCTATAAATACCATCATCTTCAATTCTGTATATATGCTCATTTTTTGTAGAATGACATGTGGTTCTGTAGAACTTACTTTAGGAAACTGCTTGACTGGTATTAAAATTTTCTGGCCCAGTTTCATGTTCTTGTTGATGACGACGTCGATGAACTTTTCGTCATCCTTGTCCTCGTCTTTCTGAACTTTTTCGATCTCTAGAAAGAAGAAAGGAGAAAAGGTGATCAGTCGGTGTTGACAAGTAGCAATAGTGCATGACAGTAAAATGACTATGAAAAGTTAAACTGGGAAATATATGTATTTGCTTTGTTTCCAAGACAAAGACAATACTGTTTGTGTGTTATGAATAGCGCTGGAATGAGTAGATGGCTAGCTTAGCTTAGCATTAAGACTTTAAAGGGGCCCTTTTGTGCTTTGTCCTTTCTTGTAGTGTTTTATAAAACCCCAAAGTTTCCCTCCAATGGGAGTTTTTTGTCCCCCAAACTCTCCAAATTGGTTGAATTGGATTGTTTCTGTCAATCCATAACATTTAAGGAATACGTTTGAACATCCTCAGTTGACCTTTTCAGATTTACTGCAATCAAACAAGACATCGTAAATGAAAAGCAAGAAAGCTGAGAACATTGAAATGACTCAAACAATGCACCAACTATCTTTTTCAATGTTGATACTTTTCTCAACTGGCTTTTCATTTTCCTGGGCAGATTTCCTCAACCCTTTTAGTCCTTGTAAACAAAGATGAGTAGATCCTTTCAGTGTCAATAATCCCTTCTATCGGCTGAGTCTTGTTTACGCTAATACATTTTCATTTGACCGAACTAGGAAGAAAAATGATGGGAAAGACATTTGAGTTCGCACCTTTAGGCAACCCGGACATGTTGGCTGTCACGCTTTTTCTTTTGGGAGACTTTGATGTATTTGGAGATGTAACCTTGAACGTTTAATCAGATGGATAACATCTGTGTTTCAGTGCCAGGAAAATGGTTTTGCTGAGAGGTGTGGGGAGGAAACGACAAAGACTTCAGGCTAAAAGCTCAGCAGGGGGAAAGGGTGAAGCAGAGGGTGAACGATTCATTTCTCTTATTTAAAACCATCTTTAAATGGAAAAAAACCAAGATTAAAACGAAGAAGTCACGATGCTTTTACTTGACATGTCACTTTTCTGAAATTCACCCTAAATAAGCTAGTAAATCTGAAAACATTCGAATATCTCATCAAAACACCACATTTTTCAATTATGTCAGAAAACGGCTGAACATATCAGCATCAAACCTTTGATTTGAGTTTTAACGAGGATAAAAGAAGTATCAGTGAGATGGAGATATCTTAAGCTTCATTTTATCCCAAGAGGGGCTGCGAGTGCACACGTTCGGAGAAAAAAACAACATTAATATTAATGCATCGCCTAGCAACATGCCAAGAAGAGTTTTCTGATTCCACGAGGCGTTGTCCTCAAAATATTCAGTATTAGGAGATTGTGAGCAAGGTTGTGTTCCTAACTCCAAGTCATTCAATGTTTTTACTTAAAGGTCCCCTATTTTACTGTTTTTCATCAATATATTATAGGTCTCAGATATATACAGAGCCTGTCTCTGATTGGCTGAAACACCAAACAGATCATTGCAGCATTACCCATAATCCCCTCTGTTTCAGCCCTGTTTCCAAAGTGCTGATTCTCTGTCTGTTACTTTAGATGAAAATAAGGAGCCCCTCCCCACGCCCCTCTGAGAGAGATTTGGTTACAAAGAACTCTATGGTGCTCTGGGAGGAGATTCAGGTGATAAGGGGGGGGGGGGGGTTACCTTGGTTGCTGATTGGCTAATGGTTACACAAGACAAAACATTGTTATGACATCATAAAGTGGCCAAAATCTGATCAGCTCATTTTCAGACAGGTTTTTATAGAAATGGATCAAAAAGAGAGAGAATCTTTGTTCCTGAAACTTTCAGAGTCTCTTTCGACAGAGGGGACACATGTTGATGAAGAAGAGACATGAAGAAGAGGGGACACATGTTGATGTAGAAGAGACATGAAGAAGAGGGGACACATGTTGATGTAGAAGAGACATGAAGAAGAGGGGACACATGTTGATGTAGAAGAGACATGAAGAAGAGGGGACACATGTTGATGTAGAAGAGACATGAAGAAGAGGGGACACATGTTGATGTAGAAGAGACATGAAGAAGAGGGGACACATGTTGATGAAGAAGAGACATGAAGAAGAGGGGACACATGTTGATGAAGAAGAGACATGAAGAAGAGGGGACACATGTTGATGTAGAAGAGACATGAAGAAGAGGGGACACATGTTGATGAAGAAGAGACATGAAGAAGAGGGGACACATGTTGATGTAGAAGAGACATGAAGAAGAGGGGACACATGTTGATGTAGAAGAGACATGAAGAAGAGGGGACACATGTTGATGAAGAAGAGACATGAAGAAGAGGGGACACATGTTGATGTAGAAGAGACATGAAGAAGAGGGGACACATGTTGATGTGGAAGAGACATGAAGAAGAGGGGACACATGTTGATGTAGAAGAGACATGAAGAAGAGGGGACACATGTTGATGTAGAAGAGACATGAAGAAGAGGGGACACATGTTGATGTAGAAGAGACATGAAGAAGAGGGGACACATGTTGATGTAGAAGAGACATGAAGAAGAGGGGACACATTTTGATGTAGAAGAGACATGGAGAAGAGGGGACACATGTTGATGTAGAAGAGACATGAGGAAGAGGGGACACATGTTGATGTAGAAGAGACATGAAGAAGAGGGGACACATGTTGATGTGGAAGAGACATGAAGAAGAGGGGACACATGTTGATGTAGAAGAGACATGAAGAAGAGGGGACACATGTTGATGTAGAAGAGACATGAAGAAGAGGGCACACATTTTGATGTAGAAGAGACATGAAGAAGAGGGGACACATGTTGATGTAGGAGAGACATGAAGAAGTGGATTTTGCATAATAGGTGACCTTTAAAGCTTACGGGAGTCTTTTCATCCGACTTGCCTATAAGGAAAATTCAAGTCAGAATAAACCCCCAATGTGCACAGCTATCAACCAGAAGGTGTTCAAAGCAGATCCAAAATGAACTAAACTCTTCTAAAAGATCATGTTCATGCAGCAGTTTATGAGAAAGACGATGTGAACTGAGAACCACTTCAAACTCTGAGTTGTTTCCAAGTGTTTAAAAGTGAGATTTAAACAGTGACACCAGCACAATGTTCCCATTGTTTTCTCTCTTAAAGCTCAACGGGACTCCTCTCGTTCGGCTGGATAATGAATAGCATGTTCTAATTTGCAAGGCACAATGAATACCTTTATTATATCAGTGCCATGGAATCTGGAAGCTCATTGAAAATCACTTCAAGTCTCTGTCGATTGATATTGCTGCTCTCCTTTGTGTGTAAAGTGCAGTACATTTCTTCCATTCTACAATACTGCTGACTTGTGATATGTCAAGAGACTCAGCGAGTTGATAAAGCTTTTAAAGTCATTTCTCTCTCAAGAGGAATCAATGAATGAGAATATTCCACTTTAGATGTCTTGTGTTTGACTCCATATATGATATACTGGTGCTCATGTATTATCAAACTACAAGCCTGTCTTTTCACCCTCTGTCTGAAACCAGAGCCCAGTCTGCTCTGATTGGTTAGCTGGCCTGTTCTTTTGTGATTGGTCAACCTCTTAGAGATGTCCCGCCTCTTAGTCTATCACGTACAATGTGTCTGAGCGGTAGCCAATAGAAGCGCAAGCGTTACATAGTGATGTCAATATGCTGTAAACACAATAGTTACATTTAATAGCATCTGGTCCTGCTTGAAAACAGCAGGATTGGCTATTTGTAACAATTTCTCAAACATTTATAGAACCAAATACGCTGTACATACTACTTTGTTCAACATAGATGAGACTGAATTTGTTGTACGAGAATTATCCATCAGTTTCAAACCATTTTGTATAGTGCGTAAGGAAGTAAGTAAGCAAGTAGGTAAGCAAGTAGGTAAGCAAGTAGGTAAGCAAGTAGGTAAGCAAGTAAGTAAGCAAGTAGGTAAGTATGTAAGTAAGTAGGTAAGCAAGTAGGTAAGCAAGTAGGTAAGCAAGTAGGTAAGCAAGTAGGTAAGCAAGTAGGTAAGCAAGTAAGTAAGCAAGTAGGTAAGTATGTAAGTAAGTAGGTAAGCAAGTAGGTAAGCAAGTAGGTAAGCAAGTAGGTAAGCAAGTAAGTAAGCAAGTAGGTAAGTATGTAAGTAAGTAGGTAAGCAAGTAGGTAAGCAAGTAGGTAAGCAAGTAAGTAAGCAAGTAGGTAAGTATGTAAGCAAGTAGGTAAGCAAGTAGGTAAGCAAGTAGGTAAGCAAGTAGGTAAGCAAGTAGGTAAGCAAGTAGGTAAGCAAGTAGGTAAGCAAGTAAGTAAGCAAGTAGGTAAGTATGTAAGCAAGTAGGTAAGCAAGTAGGTAAGCAAGTAGGTAAGCAAGTAGGTAAGTATGTAAGCAAGTAGGTAAGCAAGTAGGTAAGCAAGTAGGTAAGTATGTAAGCAAGTAGGTAAGCAAGTAGGTAAGCAAGTAGGTAAGCAAGTAGGTAAGTATGTAAGCAAGTAGGTAAGCAAGTAGGTAAGTATGTAAGCAAGTAAGTAAGCAAGTAGGTAAGCAAGTAGGTAAGCAAGTAAGTAAGCAAGTAGGTAAGCAAGTAGGTAAGCAAGTAGGTAAGCAAGTAAGTAAGTAAGTAGGTAAGCAAGTAGGTAAGCAAGTAGGTAAGCAAGTAGGTAAGCAAGTAAGTAAGCAAGTAGGTAAGTATGTAAGCAAGTAGGTAAGCAAGTAGGTAAGCAAGTAGGTAAGCAAGTAGGTAAGTATGTAAGCAAGTAGGTAAGCAAGTAGGTAAGCAAGTAGGTAAGTATGTAAGCAAGTAGGTAAGCAAGTAGGTAAGCAAGTAGGTAAGCAAGTAGGTAAGTATGTAAGCAAGTAGGTAAGCAAGTAGGTAAGCAAGTAAGTAAGCAAGTAGGTAAGTATGTAAGCAAGTAGGTAAGCAAGTAGGTAAGCAAGTAGGTAAGCAAGTAAGTAAGCAAGTAGGTAAGTATGTAAGCAAGTAGGTAAGCAAGTAGGTAAGCAAGTAGGTAAGCAAGTAGGTAAGTAAGCAGGTAAGCAAGTAAGTAAGTATGTAAGGAAGTAAGTATGGAAGTATGTAAGTAAGT